CCTCTTCGTGCTGCCAGAGACTTGCTTTTCATGCCGAAGGGCTCTCCTGTCCTGCTGCTGCCCACTGGACTGTGACCTTCACCACTCTGCTGATAAGGCAGGGATATCCATATCCAGAGTTTTACTGTTTCTTTACTACTGGCTATCTGAAGGATAGGATATTTTTTTTTTTTAAGACAAACTACTGGGATTTTTAAGGTTAAATTCTTGTTATTCAAGGGTAAACCTGAAAGCATGTGAGACTTCTTTGTTTAAAAGAATTATTTTTATTACTCAGGCTTAATCTAATGGGCAGCGTTGGCATCTGCTTGGCTTTGCCATGGTATTTAATTCCATTTGCTTGATTGCAAACTAATAGTCTAATCAGTCAAGGAAAAAATGCTTTATGAAAATTTTGCCAAAAAAATCCTGGGTGGAGGGTTTGGTTTTGATGTTTGTTTGGGGTTTTTTTTTGTGTTCTGTTTTAAGAAACAAAGCAAAGAACTTTTGCTGGTCCCAGGTATACAGTCATTCAACTTGAAAAAAAATTAATCCATCTTTTTGATAGCTTCTTATGACCCTTTGAGGGTTTTTGCTAGTTTTTTTTGTACAGTTGCACTTTAATTTATACTTTTCTGCCAGTTTCTATGAGAAGCAAGGAAGAGAACAACACATTAAGCCTTTTTTACAAATCATTTAAGGTAATCAAGACAAATATGGGATATTTTTGCCATCTACTGGCAGTTAAATGGACATTTTCAGCTTGAAGTCCCTTTTTTTAAAAAACACAAAATTGCCTTACTTTTGTTACAGATTGTGCTTGAGTTCTTGCTAACGTGACTTAAATTTTTCCAGAAGTTGCACAAAATAGAAAGCTTCCAAAAAAAAAAAAAATTAGTTTTGCTGTTGAGCTCTTGAACATTAAATCCAACCCAGCAGTGGGTGGATTATAAACCCACAGCAGAACAGTTTTGTTTTTAAAAGAAATAGTGGAAATATTTGTAGTTCTCCTAGGTTTTGTAATGAGCCTTTTAGTATATTATGATTATTAAATAAATACTCTGGGGTGGAGGATGGCTTTGGTGCTGTGTCTGGTGGCTGTCAGATGATGTTTCTCCAGTGCTGTGGTGTGAGTGGGTCATACCTGGCAAGGATGGACAGTCCAGACTCTGCATGCAAAAAAAATTACCCACCCCAGAGCCAAAGCTGAGCAGCACCCAGCCCTTTAACAGCTTTTGGATCACAGAATATTCTGAGTTGGAAAGGACCCAGAAGGATCAATGCTGAGACAAGAGCAAACAGCCCTAAATGATTTTGGGTGTTGGAGATAAGCCCCTTTGGAAAGGAGCACAAGAGAGCAGCTGAGCAGCCATAGGGACAGACATTCATTTCCATCCGGGAAACAGTTACAAGTAAAATGTATTTGGAATGTAAAAGGCTTTTTAAATCTTTACTCCCAACTGAGCATCTTGCCAAATTGCTTGTCCTGGAAACACCTGTAGCTCTCTTGATAAGGGGCTGGTGCGTTAAAATCTGGAGCTCAGAAGCAGGTAGATTTACAGATGTCTTTTTTTAAAATTGACTCTTGTCCTCTGGGATTTTCTACCCAGCAGAACTAATAGTATTAAACAGCAGCAAATGCCCCTGGGAGGAAGTAAGTGCTTCCTGGAGGCAGGTGGGATTTCTAGGTGGTCGAATAAGCCCTTGTGGCACTTGGCATCTTCTCAGAGCCATGCATACATTAACTCCTATTTGGATCTGCAAAACCAGTCCTGCCTGGAAGGCAGTAGGAGTTACTCAGTTTTACATATGGAGAGACACAAAGAGATGAAGCAGCTTGCTTGCTAAGTGTCAGCAGAGGCAGAGGAGTGAGTAGGACTGATGGAAGTACCTCCTCAAAGAACACATCGGATTGAACTGTCCCTTACAGCCTTACCTAAATCCATGCTGCACTTTGAAATACTCCTGAGAACTTTAACTTTTTTTTTTTATTATTTATTTTACCTTCAAATAGGCTGTTTTCTGTTCCCCAGCTGCAAAGAAGCTGCTGACCTCGAGTTACATTTTCCAGAGGAAAAGTTTAACTTTTACACTGTTACACTGTGGTCAGCTCTTTTGAGTTATGCTGGTACATGCACAAGCATCGGGAAAAGCAGGGTAGACGTTATTTGAACTACAAAAACTTGAATTAATCCAAGTGCAATTCTTCAGAAGCCACTGGACAGCTGTGCTTTGCAAGCCACAAACTCACCCAAACTTTGCTTCAGCCTGAGAGGGAGAGAGACAAAATGCAAAGGATCTGGATTTCAGATAGGCTCTAGCAGTAACCTCCAGCTCCTGGATTAATTAGTTCAGAAATAGCTTGTATTGTTCTTGTTGGAAAAGATATATGTACACACACACACATATATATGTATAAAATGTAAGTAGCATCCCTGTTATTGACCTCTCAGCTTTCTTACCCAGCAGGGTAGGTGTGTGCCCTGGACAACTGCCATCACACACACTAATCCCGGCATGCAAGAGGACCTGGAGAAAAGGGATGCTATTTTTACACCCTCTTTTAGGTAAAGCCCATGAGTAGCTTAGCTGACCCCATTGGACCCAACATGGCCTCGTCTGGGGATGGAAGGAGAGGCGGCATCAGGAGCCATGAGTATCCTGCCCTTCCACCCTCCCCAGCCAAAGCCCTGGTGCTAAAGGGGTTTGGGGTAGGTTTATTTTTGGGAGTTGGAGCTGAGCAGGTGAAGGCAGTGGGATATTTTTTTTCTCTTAATGGGTCAGAAATGCATCTTCAGCTGCGTGTCCAGTTTAAGCATTTCACAAGGTGTGTACAAGCACAGGGTTATATATATGGCAGTATTGTAAAAAAATGCATCAGCTGGTTAGTATCTGTTGTATATACATTTTTGCATGTGGTTATAATGGCATTCATATTGGAATAGAGGAATTTTGAACAAAATAACCATTCTGTCTACTCCTTTTCATTTTACTGCTCTTTGCCATCAGTGTGCACCCCCCTGTAGAAGGAAGAGAGACCTGTGTGCAGGACATGCAATCGTGCCTTCGACATACATTAGAACTGCTGGAAGTCGCAGCTTTATTTCACGAGGTGCACAATTTCCCCAGCTCATGCAGAATTCCCCCCGGTGAGACATGCAGGCCGTGTTTCTGAATACTTGAAGTACCAACCATTTGTTGTGCAATTATTTGGCTTCACCCTTTTATTAGCTGAGAGGAGAGAGGGAAGAAGAATCACACATCTGGATGAGCCAGACAAATCCCTGCTCCAGCTCCTGCAGTGTTTTCCTAGAAAGTTTTAGGCTCTAGTTTTGTTCCAGGTATATGATGTACGTACTAGAGTCGCCTTTCTTAAGGTGTTACATTGGTATGGGCTTTCCATTTAGTGTTTTCCTTTGGCTTCCTTAGCCCTTCCCTTATATATCCCTTTTCATCATTTACTTATAAAACAAGCAACAGCTTCTTGTAATTCTGAATTTCCAGTCTGCCTCCCGGCCATGGAGTTAATTCATCCAGAGGTACCTCACTCCCATGCCCGAGAGATGAACTGGTTTTCAGAATTCCCACATTACACCTGTTGATGGAACAGTGACTTTTGCAGAGAGCACACCTGGTATTCGATGCACAGATCTTTGCTCATTTTGATCATGAAAATTACGAGAACTGGACTGTATATCAGACCTCTACCTGCAAGCACGAGTACACTTTTGGTGTTACAAAAATCTGTTTTCGACAAAAGCCTTGAAGTTCCTGCTGAAGCTGCCTTAATTTAAAAATCACAGTTTATTTGTAAGATTCATCTCTGGTTGTTTTTTTGTTTTTTTTGTTTTTTTTTTTTTTTTTACAGTTTGGAAATAGTTAATTTATCCTCATCACAAAGCTGTGAAGTAGATACTGTAGACATGGTAATATTTATTCTCGTTGCTGAAAGCATGTTCTGTATCATGTTATATTCACGTGTTTTGTACCTCAATGCATTTGTTTTGGTTTTTTTTCTTTTAGAGCACAAAGCAAAACTGAATCCCAGGATAATTGTAGTGTGCATGGCCCAGCTTTTGGGCAAACAAATTTCAGCTCTATGACAGAGATGAATGGTATTAGTCCACTGCAGTTTTTTTATTCATACTCTAAGGAGTATTTATGATTTATAATATTATGTATTTATATGAATATTTTCGTTAAAAATAATGAACTTTTAAAAGCTCTAAGCATCCCTTCAAACATATAATTAACATGAAACTCAGAAAAAAAACACCCGAGCTCTATAATTACTCCATTCTTCTTGGTATTTTCTATTTTGTCAACTCAGAGACTGGAGAAGGTTTTGTTTTCAGATTCATGGCTTTACTACTTCCAGAAGTAGCTGTTGTGGAAGGGCCCAGAGCCTAGGTTCAGTTTTGTCCTTTGTGCATTAGATAATCACAATGAAGCCTTTTTCCTTCCATTTATGGTGTGGAAAGTGTTTCTCGGTGTACTGCACTGCATGTGATAGCTGTCTCCATGGTTGACATTTGCACTTTAATAAACTCAGAGATGAAAAGAGATAAAAGCAGCAAATCCTTAAAATTTTCTTATTTCACAGTGCCTTTTTGTGGACTGGAGTTGGCTGTTAAGAGTTTCTCTCCTGAGATCCTTGCACATCCCAACTGTGGGATCATGGATGCCCTGAAGGCTTGGGGGGGTGGTGCAAAGGGGCAGGAACGGGAATCAGAATATACATATGAACAATTTAAACAGCTCCCCCAACCCAAAATACATGCCAGGAGCCAGGCCTGAAGGTTTTCCAGCAGAGCTGATGCATTAGTCTGTGCTGACTCAGATCTCAACTCCTTACACCAAAGCACGGAGAGTATAATTTTAAAGATAGATAATGTGCGAAAATAACCTTTCACTACAGGAAAAATGTTTTTGGTTTTTTTTTTTTTTGGGGGGGGGTAAATTAGGGCTTATTTCCTGTATGCCTGTGATGCAGCTGGATGTAAATCCAGTGAAAGCACACAGCTGCAGTGAGTGCCCCAGTTTTTTCCTTATCCATGCTCCTTTTTACACAATTTCTGTGATACAGAATTGCCCTCTAAAAAAATTTCAATTCTCCTTCAGACACTACTCATCAAATCAACAACTGTTATCATGATGATTTCCTTTTCGAGGAGAAACACAGAGGAACGGGGTTTAAAACTTGCATCAGAATTATTTTGAGGTTTGATGTGGTTAGGATGTACCAGCAAGGCTTGTAAAGGAAAAAAAAAAAAAAAGAAAAGGACACATTTAATTTCCTGACCAATATCTTAACCTAAATTTAGCCAACCTGTGGTTTAATTGAGGATATCTAAGTTGCTCTAGCTAAGGAATTTTTGTATTGTTTGGAGTCATCCCATAGAAAGCTCGCTCTTTTCTTCTGTACATGCATTGGAATTTATACATGGGGAAATATATGTCTAAGTGTATTGCAAGGCACCCTTGCATTAAATCAGCTGCCAATGCTGGTGCAGAAGTTTGTTTCACGGGGATTTGGGGCACAACCCCACAAGGACTGTGCGTCATTGCACCGGGATCAGGGCCCAATCACGTCTATCGCAGGATACATGGGGAGACTTTTTTTAAAGGCCTTAATTTAAAATAAGAAAAACTTGTTAAATAACTTCCTTATGAAGCCAAAAAGAGCTTACACGTGTGGCTAATACAAGATTTGCTCGTAGTGCTCACAGAGCCAGTGATTAATGGACTTCATGAGCTGTGAGTTAGCACTGGCTGGGGAGGAGGATGAGGAAGGGGATGTTTTCTTCATGGTATTAATCCTCAACATTGCCCTGGAAAAAAAGCCCCCAAGCTAAACCATCTCCACAACTTCCATCAGGCCGATTCCCCTCAAAGGCTGTAGGTGAAGGACACAGAGCACGTCCCAGCCTGTGCCAAAGCCAAACACGCACTTCAGCTCCCCAAACCCTCCATCACCACTAGAGAAGTCTAAATATTTGGGCTGGCAAGCCTGCAAAGCTGCGCATGCTTACAGGGGATTGTTTTATTTATTTTTTTTATTTCGAGGATGGATGCAGGCCAACGCACTTAATAATAACCACATGGTAAAATAAATAAGAATGCCTGTATAGACTTAAAAGTAAATGTTAAATATTTGCTCTGTTTTCTTACTGATGTCTCCTATGCCAGCTTTGAAATGGCCCTGTGGCAAACAGCGCTTTTATTCTGCTGTGTTTTCTTAAGCCTGGAACTTTTAATAATTTCTAATTAAAACTTCTACATTTTTAGGATATTTATGAGCAAGCTGATATGGGCTCTTAAAATGAGCCAAGGAGGGGCAAAAGTTGTACATTACAACCAGATTTAAAAGTAAAAATGCTATCCCCATTTTTTTTTACTTTTCACAGAAAATTTCACAGAATATTCTGGAAAATGTGTCCACTAGATACATGGAGGAGAAGCCACTAGAAATTTATATTTCTCTTCCTACATTTAGAAACATTTTTCTTAAAACAAGTAAACATCCTCCAGGCCCACATTGCAGAACGGCCCAAACACAGGGGCAACTGTTGGGTAACTGCCCGTGAATCAGTGGGAGCCAGGAATCAGCCTTTACATATCTGGGATGCCTAAGTTAGCTTACAAAAATAAAGTAAATTTTGACTGAATGCTTTATTTACTCTTTTTTCATGTTTTTTGGAAAGAAATGAGTCAATTTTTCCACTATTTGATATATTTAACACAGCAGGAGTGGTGATACATCCTTCTCCCAATAGTTTTAAGACCAAAACCAGTTCAAAATGATATGGTTTGCTTTTTAAAATCTTTTGGGGAGTTATGTAATTCTACCACCTAAAACAGACAGTAACAAATTGGAGCAACTAATGTGCGCAGTTTTTCTTCATGCAAATGCAGAAGTGAAATGGCTATTTCAGAACTGACTAACAAGCTACTCCAAAAAGTGAGAAATACTGAAAATAACTATTAATCAATGCAGATATGCTCTAAATGTCAGGGTAAAAAAAAAAAAAAAAAAAAAGAAACATCTCTTGCACATTTAATGGTACAAAAAAAAAAAATAATTCAGCTTTATTTACATGGGCATCATCACTCCACAGCTGACCAACGTGCACTCTCATGGATGCAGGAAGCACAAAGGAGACTTTCAGGGATGGTCCAGGGGAGAGCAGCTCTCAGCGAAGTTAGCACTGTCTGCCTCAAAAAAAAAAAAAAAAAAAAAAAAAAAAAAAAAAAAAAAAAAAAAAAAGAACATTTTCCTGCAAGGGGCACCTGGTTCATTTGTATCAGTTATGCATGAGCATGCAAGGAAACACTGCAGCAGGGAATTTGAGGGTGTGTTTTGGCAAGGCAATGCACACTGAGTGGCCCATGTTTGCAGCAGATGTGAATTAATATGGCATATCTGAAGGCAAGTCAGGAATCTCCAATTTATGGAAATCATGACTGGACGGGCCTTTTTTTAGCTGCAGTTGGACTGGAAATTTGTATAACAGCAGACTAAAACTGGAAATACTTATTTGATATTTAATATTTAGTACTGGCTGTTTACATTTAATTCCCCTGCCTTCAGAAGTTTTAAGTACATTTCTCCAGATCTTAGATATCTCTACACAGGAAAGAGAAGAAAATATGCATCACAATAAATAAAATCTGAGTTTACCCGAAGTTCAAGTGCTCCACTAGAACGTAGCCATCTGAGAGAAGGGGAAAAAAAGGAAGTAAATTAGTAAACTCCTGAGCCAATGAAGTCTCAGTGGCTAAGCACAAAGAACATACTGTGGCTTGGGAGGCTGATTTGCCCCTCCAAACTGGTTTGCAGTGTCCCCCCTTCCTGTGCCAGAGACTTTCTGCAGACTTACATCTGCCCTCTGAATTTCGGCAGATCACTGCGTGGCCCTCCGTGACATCAATAACATCCAGCTGTTCTCCAGCTGTGACAGGGAGATCCACTCTCCTCTCACTGGGGACAGAGCACTCAGCAGTGGCTGTGTTGATGACATTGATCTCCTTATCATACTGCAGGAAAGAAATAAAATGAGTTATTCCACACTTATGTGCAATGTCTTTAAAGGCAGTGGGAAGGGATGAAGAGATTTCAGAATGGGTCCTGAGGCTTTGTTTAGGAGGGAGAGAAACCCCAGTAACATCCCTGATGAAGATCCCAGATTAGGGGAGAAGACACAGGTCAGTGACACATCTCTGGCAGAATAGCTGAGGACCAGCAACATTCCCCATGCATTTATTAAACAAGCCACATAGCTGTTTTCCTCCTCTGACCCAACCAGTTCTCTAGAAAGAAACGTACCATAAATGTTTCTCTAAAGAACTTCTCTTCTTTTTCCCTCTTCCTGCTTTTTTCTTCACTGCTCTTCTTGAATTTGAAGATATTTCTGCATCAAGAAACAGACACGCACACACTTGTGAGCTCCATTTAAATAATCCCTGGCACATTTCAAATTGCAGCTCAAAGCCAACTCCAGCCTTGTCTGCAATGAACCCGTGGAATAGGAGAGCACACCATTCACATCCCTATTTTTCATAAAAGAATGAATATACAACTCAAATATGTTAGTGAGCATAACCTGGGCCATTTTGGATCTCCATTTGCAATAATTTTTTTTTCTGTAAGCAGCGTGGGAACAAACAAACTCTCTAAAGAGTGTTTCAAATCAGTTGTGTTTTTATAGAACTCAACAATTCACTTTTCCCCCAGCAGTTTGTCTCCTTCTGGTTTTATTTATATTCAAACATAAAGGGAAAGGGTCCCCAGATAACTCTCATCCTGAGTCATTTATGGAAGTGGGGCTTGACATAGCTCTCCAGATTTCTGTTGGGTTTTTTAGCACATGGAGGAGAAAGTCACCCAAGCTGACATTTATATGGCACTGTGAAGTGGAAAACAATTTCTTATGCCCCACTTAAAGGGAGCAATGGCCATTCCTTCTGGGGCATTCCCTGAGTATGGAGATGGCTTTTTCTGGTACATGAAATTCTACCTATAGCATTAATTTTATAACTTAAGACAGGAAAAAAACACCAAACAAAAAACCCCACCCATTTGTAATAAATTATTCACCTTTGGCTCACTTTGATGCACTTAAAATTAAGACAAGGGGAAACAAGAGCTGAAATTAGGACCTTCTAGGCTATGAAGAGATTTCTCCTTGGCAGACTTAGCCTGAAGGACCTGTGATGTCTAAGGAAGGGATGAAATTGCATCGACTTCCTGATGGTCTGTAAAGTTATACATATGACTTTGCACAACACAACCAGCAGTGTCTGAGCAACTTCATCCAGGAACTCTGTGGTAAGAACCTGAAAAATGGATCTTTGATTTGCGTTTCTTTGAAGTCCCACGTATTGGATCATAAAAAAGCTCACTGTGATTCGCATTTTTCTAATCTCAAAGGCAAAGGAAATCTCCTACTTTCATGTGAATTTTTGCAGCACCAGTAACAAAATGAACAAACAAACAAAAAATCTTTGCTTTTAGGCACATGCAATCAGCCCAGTCAGAAACAGAAGACCCAAGAAATCAATACTTTAAAATAAGGGCAAGGGGAAACTACAGGCAATTACTACATTGTGTACAGGGCTTCTAAACACAGGGCTCTTGCCAAAATCATAGAATGGTTTGAGTTGCTGCCTTAAAGGTCATCTTGTTCCAAACCCCCTGCCATGGGCAGGGACAACTTCCACTAGATCAGGTTGCTTAGAGCTCCCTCCAACACAACTTTCACAATTCTAGGGATGGGTCATTAGCAACTTCTTGGGGTGACCTGTGTCACTGCCTCACCACCCTCACAGGGAATAATTTCTTCTTAATATCTAATATTAACCTTCTAACATAGCAAAAGGAGCCAAATAGACAGCAAGTAACAACTTTTTGCCTCAGCTAAGTGGGAAGCCATGACAGAACTTCAGGATAAGACCTTGGGATACCCTCTATTTGCATACAGTTCAGATCCAAGAGTTTGTTTTACCCTCGAGACATTTTCTGCAAAGTTTCCTAAAAGCTGGGTTCAAATCAGCCAACACAAAATGTCTGTGCAATCAGGGACTTCTCACTCCTGAAGTCACTCAGGAGACACATGTACAGAGTTAGACAACATGGGAATACAGAATGAAAATCAAGACCTTTCCACATCAACGATGCTTTTCCTGTTGTCTTTATACTCTTGCACCACCCGAAGTTTTGGCATCCGCATTTTGTACTTGTCATCCTTCTTTCTGAGAGGAAGAGACACACAAAAATTCAATTTTTTTCCAGCAGACTGTGTTCCCTTCTCTAACCCATATACCTATAGAGCAGTGATTTTTCCCTCCCTCCCCCCACACCCACCACTGAAATGCAAACAGTTGCTGTGATTTATACCAGCACGCGCAGACACCACAATCATCTGGCAGCAAGACACCAAGACATGCTGTTCCTATTAAAAGTAATTTTTCTGACAAGGAGCCTGCCAGGACGGGGCTGATAATCAGGTCTGGGAGCTGGAGTTTTCCTTCCTTAGGAAAACTATCTAAATTTTCACCTGTTTCAGGGAGCAGCTCTTTCCTTTCCACATCTCTGGCACTAGCTAGGTAACACTGAAGAAACATTTTTCAGGATGCTACTTGCCAAATTAAACACACATGGAGAGGGCACCTGGACTGTCTCCAGAGGACTGAGTCCCAACCAGCTCATGACCCTCACTGGTTTGCAGTACCACAGGCTCCTTGGGGCATGGGTTTGTGCCCAGAGGAATGTCTCCTTGGCCTGAGGTGAGAGCCAGGAGAGGGCACCCTCCTTACCTGTGCTCTCTCTGCCCCACATCGATATTATCATACACCTGGTCCTCCTGGGATACAGATGCTGTCAATCAAAAGGAAAGAAAGCTATTAGAAGATGTCAT